ACTGAAGGATGACTCATATAAAACAGGTGAAAAAATAAGAGGTTAATTGAATGAGTTAGCCAAGGGTGTTTGGGCTTAGAATGCGAGAAAAATGCTAGAACATGCTTTAGTTTGTACAGAACCTCACCTTGAGGAATACATTTTTTTTTCTGCAAATAATTTACAATACTTATTGAAAAAGAAAATAGGTTCATAAAGTATCTACTTTGTGGCTCTAACACAGAAGCCAATATCACTAAAGATTTCCACAATTCACAGTATTAGGTAAAAAAAAAAAAATAATAGTCCAACAGTAATCACTACAAAAGTTCAGTGTAAATAACGTCGCAATGGGGTGTCATGAGGGATTTGCTCACATTTTACTAAGAAGAAGGAAGAAAGCAAAACAACAAAGTCCCTCTTGGGATCTGGACCTATGGTAACATGCCCATTATCTAAACTGATGCTACTATTTGAGGCAGACTGTGTTTCTTTGAAATGAAGTAGTTGAAAGCAAGTCTCACTTCTGGGGTCTAAAGTTCTACACATGTGATTAACTCCTTCGAGGTATCTTTGAAGTACAAATATGTTATCACACTATAACAGTATAAAATCATCTCTGTTTACAATAAACAGACAGAACAAAGCTACCATCTCAGAAGTAAATATGACCTATATGAACCTAAGACTTCACTTTTAGGGCCCCCGTCATTCATGATGCCATGTCACACTTCAGCAGTCAGTCTGGCTCCACTCCTCTACCTGCAGTCTCTGTATTTTGCTTGGTAACTCAGGGACCCAAGCAACTAAATGAAGGGCTCTGCATTTTTGAAGGTGACCAAACTTGAATTAACTAAAAGAGAGGTAGAGTGGAGATTAGAAATGACCAAGGCTTGAGGACTTTGTCCTAGCTTACTGGTCCTTCAACTGTCCAGAGAAGAGAAGATGCTGACAGAGGCATGAGAAGAAACCACTGCTTCCCCCTCCCACTTGCTTAGAGCATTCTGCCCTAGTTTATGAGGGTTTTCATTCAGCCCACATGTCTCCAGGGTCCTATAACCAGCTTCCTAGTCTGTCCTCTGGAGATGAGGAACAACATTTCGAGAAGAGAATTTTAAACATGCCAAAGAATTCATTTCTGTGTAACTGACTCTCCCCAAGGGACAAAAGAAAAGCCTGTCACACGGCATATGCACAGTCAATACATAAAGGAGAAGAGCTGCATGGAATTGTTGATGCTTCAATGATAATCCTATTTGAACTGGTATTAAAGAAAGTGTGATTCAGTGGGAGTCAGGCAGACTGGCTCTCAGTGCTCAGATCTTGGTAAAGTCATTCAAAATCACTGGGCCTCAGTCTCCCCAAAGACAGGGTTGGACCAGGTGCAGATTACCCGAGAGGCCTGGCGAGTGGCCTAGGTTCCGTCATCTTCCCCACTCACTAAAATGGCCTCACTTTCATTTCTTTCATGTAATGAAGTTCTGATAAACAGAAACAAACAAAAAGCCAGTTGATTTAAAAGGTACCTGGTGACTCCATCATTCTTAGGACAAAAAAGTTTGCTTAAAAGTTATTATCTTAATTACATGTCTGTGATAAAACTAGGAAAAAAGTTAAAACTACTCATGATCTCTGGCCGTCTTGTCTTGCCTCTTGTTTTTAACACCTAAGAGTGTGCTGGCTAAAGTATTTCCAAAAATTCCTGCACAACTCTAGGGGACGCCATTCATACTACAGACGTCAATGGTGTTCCCTAGAGGGTGGCACTCAGTGGCCCCGAGGAAGGTGCTTTTAGAGCAGAGTGAGCCTGTGTTTGAATTTCATCTCTGCCACTTACTAGCTATATGACCCTTGGCAAGCTATTTCATAATCTCCCTGGTCCCATTTCCTTCTCTGTAAAATGGAGATGATAAATTGTATTTCCAAAGGCTGCTGTAAAAGCTAAATGAGATAACATATTAAGAATCTGGCGTAGGGCAGCAAACCAACACCAACACCCAATTAGTTCTCTAAAATCACAAAAGCTATCACATTTCACAGTAAACAATTGCATCTAGGACTTGTGGCTCACACTATAAGAAGAGACTAAAAGATACTGTGAAACTGGGAACAGATCTTACCTGAAGATGATAAAATGAAGATCAGAACATGGGGTAGGTACTTCACCCCAAAATTAAAAAGGTTAGAATATAGTGACCCCAAATCTACACAATTTTTAAGTCTTGGAAATATGATAACTGGCAGAAAGGAAGGCTAATCAGCATGCTAATTAATTAGGGTGTGTTGGTACAACTGTTATCAAGGATAAGCAACTGTTTAAATAAGATAGGCTGCACTCTTTAAGGACATATGTGCTGCCAACAAATTGCAGTGTGTTAATTCAAACTTTTCTTGCCTTCTTTAGGAATTCAGGACCAGACAACCTTTAACTGCACTAAAATTTTTATCTGATTCTTAAATTAAAAAAGTAATTAACCTATGCAATAAAGCTATGCCTTAGGGATTACAGATTCTGAAAATGATAGAACTGAAAGGGATTTTAGATATCATCTAGCCTAACCTCCACATATCACACTTGGGAAAATGGAGATCTAAAGAAGATGAGAGACACACCCACCGTGACAAAAGACAGAGTCAATTCTGGCACTTAATGTATTCTTTTTCCTACCACAGGAAGTCAAGCATTTCCCATACACATAGCAACAAGTTAACATTGGAAATATGGATTCCTGTCTCAAGTCTGCATAATTTGGGGCTCATGCGGCATTGGAAAACATCAGAAGGACTGGGCCAATGACTGACAGAAGCAGCTGGGCGGAACTGTGTGGGAAGGTCTGAAGATATTCAAGAAAGTAAGTGAACAGCATCCAGAAAGGCTGTTACAGATCTGCCAGTCTGGGATTTGGGGTTTGGGCATAGCAATCAGGGTCTATTAAGGGATCAAATATGGAACTACTCTCCATATTCAGGATGTACCACAGTGACCAGCACATACTTGGTATTTAGTACTTATTTGTTGTATGATTGGATGATGAACCAAGAGTGGTTTAAAGAATGAAAGGACCTGTTCCGAGAAAAGAAATGAGAGCTTCAGAGGCAACAGAGAAGAGGGACTGCCTAGTGCCACCCCTTAGGGGAGGAGGAAGAGAAGGATCACCCAACCTGTCCCTAACCTTAGCAGGAAGGAGGTGGCTCATTTCGTTTGCAACGACAGTGGAGTGAGTCTGCGGCCCCCTGGCTGCCACCTCACATTTCCAATCTGAGGAAGAGTAGTAGTTCCTGTGGCATTGCTTCTGTTTCTGGCCTGTCTGTGCTCAGGATGGAACAGGGAGAAGTGAAAGGCTCAAGGGAGTCTATCTCTAAGGGCAAAAGAAATTTCAAATCCACGTCACATTATTTTTAGAGTGCTAGCCAAGCAAGTTACTGAACATTCTGACACCGATGGGGAAACTAGTTCATAGCAGGTGCTTTACATTTTCATATCACCTTCTGTGGTCCTAAGCCTGGTACTCTTTGACCTTTTGCCAAGTCTGTTAGGGCTGGACTTTAAAAGCAGGATTCACTTGAAGAGCATTGATGACACACACATGACAGAAAGCTATACCACATTATATTTTCTAAATAGTAAGGGGTTAGTATTTGATATTCTCTTTCCTTTTTAACATCTATGTCTAATGCTTTTCACTTTTGTACTATAGGAGGTGGCCACTTTGGAGAAAAGATGCACCATTCATCACCTCTTATATATTTTTCTAGGACTAAATAGAGAAATTATAAAAGGACTCTACCTCAATGCCTAAGAAAGGCCTTTCAAGGTTCTTATGATATCAGCAATTTCCTGTTTAAGAGGAACACTAACACTTCCATGAATTATAAGCATCGGACAGTATCTTCTCCACACAACATCTAGGGGACTAATGACAAAATGACAGTGAGTACATCAGTTGCTAGGACAGAATAATGGAGTTCTGCCCCATGTTCATATGAAAGATACATACAGCTCAAAGAGAATATGTAATGTCTCTAATGTGACCTTCACTTGACATTTAAGATTAAAGTTGGTGTATTAAAAAAAAATTCTTTCACAACTAGGAGATCAGGTGAATGAAAAGGCCAATGATATAAACACTCTTCTTCAACTCACAGAGTGATTGGCAAGGCTTTCATATTTTTAGCACATTTTCAATTCCCTAAAAAGAAATGCCACCTAAAAGAAATGTGTTAAGTACCCTCTTAAATGTTTCTCATTAACTTGCCAAAACTGGTACTCACCCCTGAAGGCTGGTTTATAGCACTCATCCTAATTCGGCTCTGTACGCCATTCAGGGACTACATGTGAGATTAACTGCTATTTGAAAGAAAGGGACTATATCTGTAAGAATTTTTATATTAATACAGTAAAACCTTGGACTGCGAGTAACTTGGTTTGCAAGTGTTCCGCAAGACGAGCAAACATATCTAATACATTTTAACTTGGTAAATGGGTGATGTCTTGCAATACGAGTAGTTTGTTTCCGGAAAGAATTATGCTTGCAAACCAAGTACATTTTAACATGGCAAATGAGTGATGTCTTGCAATACGAGTAGTTTGTTTCTGGAACGAATTATGCTCACAAACCAAGGTATTCCTGTACTTGTAAAATACCTGGAGAAAAAAAAAAAAAGAAGGAAACAGCAAGCCAGAAACCAGGGTTCTGCAATGAAATTCTAAAAATGGTAGTAAAGAAACCCAACTGAAAGGTTTTTCTAATAGAGAAACAGGTTTGTTGTCATAGTACGAATAGTATTAGCTAAGTGGCTGATTCTTCTAAAAAGACTAGCTTTGGATAAGAGTGAAAACACACCACTGTGTCTAGATTTAGCATACAAAGAACTCCCCTAGATGGTTCTCACGCTGTCTCGCTCTGAGCATCTTGATTCTTTTTTTGTCATCTTGTCTTTACGCTGCGGAACAGTTAACTTTTATGTAAAAGTGAGTCTAAGGAAATGGGATGACGGAGGTCTCACAAATGCCCACTCACCTCCCATGATTTTGGATTGGCAGTTAATGAACTCCGGCTTCCTGTCCGTGAGGTACCTCTGGCAGGTGTGATGCAAGATCTGGAAGAAGGTGCATTTTTCCGAGGCTGTGCTGGCTACCCACTGGTCAAAAGCATTTTCAAACAACAAATCAAACTCTGCAGAGTCCTGGAAAAGACAGTAAAATAACTACTGATCTCAATGTATAAAAACTGCTGCTTCTAGTTTATGCCCAACAAAAGATTCATAAAGGCTAAAACGCCTTTCAGAATGAGGGTCCTAACCCGAAGGCTTACCTTAGCAGCCAGGTGTGTGGAGAACCCACCTTTCTCTGTTTATCAGGCAAACCCCAAGTCTTGCAGTATTTAAAGATGTCCTTAGAAAGTTAGGGTCACAGAAGTCCCGATAGCCTACCACACACTGACTTGTATCAGAATTCAGACGACATATTACCTTCCCAATTACTTGGAACATAATTCCTTCAGGTTCTCAGCATTGAACCATATTAACCTTGCCCCGAACCTTTGGTAGGAAAAGACTGCCCCTCATTATTTTAGCATATACTTACAATTTACACTTTACTTTTCCTCGTTATTGATGTTTTATATAGTGAATGTGTGTGAACAAAAGGGAATGTACTTTGAATAAATAACTCTACCATAAAATGTTTCTCATATTAAATACAATAGAATCCTAATACATAACTTTCAAGGTGCCATTTATTTATTTTTCTTTGGAGGGGTAAATAAACCACATCACTGGTGGCATTAGGAGATAAGTGAAGCTTGGATGAACATGGTTTTTCATATTGATAACCATGGACATGATATCTGAACTCAGCTCTTCCCACTTTGCTGACAAACATAGGACAGGAAGTAGCATTTCTTCAATATACATTCCCTTAGGTTCCTGCAACAAACATGATGAAGAGATTATAATTCCCCATAAGAAGAGCACAGAAATCAGAAAGTCTGAGTCACATAACTGAAATAGAGAAATAGTTCTGTTAAAAATGACTCAGGGGCCGGCCGAGTGGCGCGATGGTTAAGAACTGGCTTGGGACGCCAGAGGGCCCCGGTTCGGATCCCACATATGAGGGCCAGTGACACTGCCCTCTACAGCTAAGATGCTGAACAACAGCTCAACCTGAAGCTGGGTTGCCTTGAGTCGCCGGCGACGGCGTAGGCTGCAGCCCCTGTGGCAGTGGGTTGCCATGGGCTACCGTGTGTAGCCAGCGGCCAGCGTGAGCAGCCAGCAGCCAGCGTGAGCGGCCAGCAGCTGCAGTGAGCGGCCATCCAGAAGCCGGCGACTGATCTGCCTCTCCCGGGAAGAGCACAATGATGGTGCCAACTTGGGCCAGTGAAGCGACGTCCTCCACAACTAGACTGAAGAACAAAACAACAGCAACTTGTCTGTTCCCCTTCCCCGAATTCCCCAGCACTGTTCCCATCCCCCCAATTCCCCAATAAAAATCTTAAAAAAAAAATGACTCAGACAACCACCAGCACACCAAGGTCAACGGAAGAGTCATCATGTGAAGAGAATTCCTTTGCTTAACTCTGGACAGGTCACTCACCCGATTAGGATCGATGCCATTAACCTGGCGAAGCTGCTCAAGCATCCACTGTGATCTCCGCACAAACGACGTGGAGCCTTCGAACTGTTTGACCTTCGTGATGGACGCCTGTGTGGGTTTCTTATTTGTCACTGCCAAGAAAAACCACTCAGATTAGTGAGTGTGCAGGTTGCTTTGTTTCCTCAGTCAGTGGTGTTTCTATCTTACACCTACATGCATATGCAAAACGAGAGAGAGAGAAAAAATATTTATATACATATAAATACATAGATCTATCTATTGAGAGGATAAATATGTGTGTTTTTGGCGAAAGGTGAACTCAAAAGAAATAGGAGTCATAATCTCCACTCTCAAGCAGTTACAATACAATTATAATGGTAAGGGATGCTTCATTTATGTTTTCATCCATTCAAACTGAACACGACTTAACCGAACAATATCAAGCACCTTTTATGGAGGCTACAAGTGTCCAAAGACCAGCTTCAGGAAAGAAGCACACAGGGCTGACAGGCACCAGGTAGGGGTCATTGGGAAAGGCTTAATTTTTAAAAAAGGGGGAGGGGGTGACCAGTTCCCCTAGGGAACTGCAAGGCATATTTCTAATTTTATCATCCAGCGTAAACATCTCAGGTTTCAGTGATAAGAAGTAATAAGACCTCACTCAAAAAAAAGAGAACAATTTGGCTTTAAAACATCGTCCAATTTGTACCGAGTTTGCATCTGATTATGACTGTATGTGGCATTCTGGGTGCCCCTCCCCGCCGTCTCCCCATGAATTCCTGAGGTCACCACACCGCAGGACCAGGACAGTTCCTCTTCCCAGCCTCGGTCATGCTGGGATGGACAGCATCACCTCTCCCACAGCGGTCAAGCACCAGCCACCAGGAGAAAGTCACTTGGAATATTTCTACACCTGCTTACTTCATGATTTCGAGCCTCAAGGGTGGCGAGGTAATTATAAGGGGAAATTGTAAACTTTAAAAGAAATGATGCAATTAAAGGAGGAACCTGGAAAAGTGGAAAGCACGACTTGTCTTCATGAATGCAATCCTAATGAAACTGAATCAGTGGCGCACCCTTTCTTTGTTTCATATAACCCCACAGATTCTACATTTTCAAACAACTGTGCAGATGCTCAACAGATGGCAAAAGGAATCCTTGGGGGATGAAGGACAGAAAGCACCTATTCCAGTCATGGTTGGTGGTAAGAAGACTCTCCTTTGTGCATGCTGGAGTTCACTGCATTAATGTGTCTGGAGTCATGAAAGCAGGGACCAAGAGGTGAATGAAATGTGGGCACCCTGCTTTTAGGCCTGATGAGAATCCCTGTGGTTGCGGGACTGAAGATGGCTTATATGACTTCAGTACAATCTTATCTCTGCTCTCGACCAGAATTTAGCAAAATATATATCTTTTAATTTCAAATAATGCTTAGTTTTATTACCCATTATTTCAGTTATATTTGGCTAAAAGCTTCTGAACATTTCACACCAATTACACTTACTTTAAAAGGCATCATCCCCTTAAGACCCACAATCAGAGGAAATTTTATAGTCTTCTATTCACAAATGGCCTCTCTGGCCTACAGTTCCAAGTATAAGCCAGTGAAGTCCCATGAGGAATAACGATTCCACTAACTAAATTCAGGCAGTTTTACCAGTCTGCCCACGGCTCTTTCCATCCATTTAATTTAATTCATTGTTTTTTTGTGTGTCTCCTATGACACAAAGGAAGATCTAATAGGTTTTTCTGATAGTCGTGCTCTGCTCTTGCATTTTAATGTTAAAGGAAACAACACACCTGGAATATAGGCCAGTCCTAAAATGTGCTTAAAAGATTAAAGGATGCTTTTCAATAACAGGAAAACACGGGTTCCTGTATTAGACACACATCCCTAAACACAGCAAGAGGATTTCCTCCTTTGTTTATGTAAATCACATGACATTTAAGCAGCCCAGGAAACCTGATCATTCTCCTTGTAACTTCAGTTAAAGTGGTTAGGAACTCCTGTTTTTACTACTGGACCATTTATTTGAAATTAGTTTACAGCATTATAAAAGCTCAAACACAATGCATGATTGCTGTAATGATTGGCATGTGTAGGATTGACATTTTAGGAAGGCAAGTTCCCTTGGAAACTTATCACTGAAATAAGAAAGGCAGGAACCCCACCCACATGACGAATGCCCCACAGAACTGCTCTGTAGTGATCACACTTCTGAGGGGTCATTTTTAATGGAGGCAGTTACAACTCATTCCACCCCTGCCTCTTCCCCACCTGTTGGTTTATTCCTTGCCCAATTCTTGGAATCTGGGTAGTTTTCCTGGGAACTGAGCCTGGTTTGGTTTAATTTTTGTTTATTGTTATTATCTCCACCATATTGTTATTATCCCAGTTTCTATTTTGAAGCAGGTGCCTTAAAATTATATTATTACACACAGTCTACAGAGTTAAATAAAGCTTTTCCCCTCCTGAAATCAAAACACTTGCACAAATGCACCACTGCCAGGCTTTCTGAGTTCTGTGCTTGAAGAGTCATGAGTTAACCCCTTCCTTGTTTTGAGGTTTTCAGGGTCTATAGCTGGTATAAAATAAGTCAGTCAAATTCCAGGTATCTAATAAAAAATAGTAATTTATCTTCTTCCAAAGGAAAGCTAATTGATAGCATACCTTGAAAATGCAACCGAAAGACCTGAATCAGTAATATCATAGTGCTGTGTGTCCAACTACTGCCTACAATAGACTCCATATTCATTATTTTGCATAACTTTGAAGGCAATTCTGCCATTCCTTCAATATTCATGAGGAAAAGGCACGTATATAGGCATTTAAAGGGGTGGGATGGACATGATACTCCCAGGTAATACTACAACCACCACGAATCAGCCCAGTCCCCTGGTTCTCTTCTCCCACCGTATGGTTGTCTCTTGTTCACTATTCGGATTTCAGTTTAGATGTCAACCCCATAGAAAAAAAGCTTCTGTGATCTTTGTATCCAAGTAGGTTCCCCTACCATGTTAGTTCTTTCACTGAATTCTGTTCATTTCAAAACAGATTCATTTCAAGACTATATAAAATAGCCAGCATTTGCTTTTCTGATATATTTGTGAAGAACAAAAACCAAATTGCTATCAGGTCCATTTAGTCTAAACACGTAAAATGTGGATAAATCTCCACACAAGTCTTCTAAGCTACACCTATGAGCTTGGGGTGTAGGGGCCTATAAATGCACATAATAACAAGTTACATTTTCCGCAGCATTTGAAACTTTTAAAAATCTCTTTTACAAAGCTTCTGGCATAGAACGCGCTGACTTACCAAAGTAATGTTAATGAAGGGAAAAACTGCAACTTAAACAATGAACTAAAGAACTTATTGCTCTTTCCATTATAGCTTTTTGCCGCATTGTCAAATGCCACATTTTATTGGGTGTGAGATGCTCATTAAATAAGGATTAACTGAATCATTTTGTTCTAATAATTATTGTTGTGATTTTGACAATATCTTGAACTGCTATTTCCTTAATATTTCCCTTTAAATAAACTTGCTTTTTCACTTAAATAAGTTTATGAAAACAAACAAACAAACATATGTTAAGGCCATAAATAGATACAGCTCTGCTTACATTAAATAGAAAACAATGTAAAAAATATAACAGAAAAATTTACAAAAAATAAATAATGAAAAAACAAATGCTACTAATTTCAAATTAGAGAGTTGGCAGTGGAGGGTCTGGCATCTGATATCTTCCCTATGGTAAAATGGAGATAAGCAACTGTAGATAGGTGTTTAAAAACTATTACAACATAGATATTCTCCTAGATATAATCACAAAGCTTAACAGCAAATGGCTTCTCTAAGACCACTGCTTCATAAGCATTGGAACTCAATAAGTTTTGGCGTTCTCTAAACCTAATGTTTTTTCACTCATTCCGACCACTGGCACCCACTGCTCTCAATGATGTTATCAGCGGGAGGCAGAAGCATCTGGGCCAACCAAATCCAGGTCCTTCTGCTACCAGCTCTGATAAAAAGAACATGGTTTCCATGGCTGCACGCCTCCTCCTTCAGCTTTCATGTAGACTTGATCTACATCTCAGCTGTAGTTAAGAAGCAGTGATAGAAACTATTATGTTTGAAATATCATTACTCGAGTGGTATCTCCAGCTCATGAACAAATGGCCTAACGAGGTCTTTTAAAAAATGGTCCCTCCAGAAACATTGTACAAAAATAAGACACTTAGTCAAGGAGTGAAGACTGTCAGCCTTGCTTTTGCCCCATCAGAAAACTCTATTTAATTAAAAACCAATATGCCAGACAATAGCAAAGCACCATCTTAGATCAAATCTAGTCTTGCAGTGAGTCAGGAATTGGTGGAGGAGGGGACAAAGGCTGATGAGGAAAGGAAGGACAGAAATGCAAGTTACGCAAAACAGTAGAGGAGTGCACACTGTAAATGATTAAGAGGCTGATCTTCTATTTCTACATTCAATGTCTGAGAGATTGCTTGTTTTTTAAAAAAAGTCACACTCTCCCCTAAAACCTCATTATTCACAGCATCGTTTCTGTATTATTCCAAACAAGAAAATCAATTTTGCCTAAGATACAAAATACCTTCTAGTCTCAGCATTTAAATATTATTTAAAAGGAAATAGAATATAAACAAAATGATTACTCACTACCTCTAAAGCCTCTATCTCATTTTTCATAGGTATTTTTGCATACTTACTAACATTTGCAAAAACATTTTCTATACACATTAAACTCAGATTGAACCATCTTACAAGTTTATGTGGTCATTTCTATCTCAAAAAAAAAAAGGTGCTGAAGAACAAATTGTATCTACATAATTTGATGTTGAGGCTAGGCAGCTAAAATGAAGAATTTACCACACCTATGTACCTAAGATACCTTAAAATTTCATCATGCTTAATCCTAGCATTATCTTATAGCTAAGTGAAGGTTCAGGGTTTTGTGGTATGCCTTAGCTCTCTGCTCTACTGGAATCTAATAGTCAGGCATTTTGATTTCAACAAGACTGCTAATGAGAAATAAACAATTTAGAGCAAGGAAAAGAAGTGATGTCCACGTAGAATCTTACCAGGGCAGCTCTTTGGCTGTGTCAGAGG